TGTAGTGGGGGCCTGCAGTCCCACCTACTTGGGAGGCTGAGGCAAGAGAATCACTTGAACCCAAGAGTTTGAGGTTGTGAGCTATGATGCCATGGTACTCTACCAAGAGCGACAAAGTAAGACTCTGTCAAAAAATCCACTTATGGAACAATGTAATTATTCTCTATTATTTACTAACTATAAAATATATTAAATTTTCTCTAATTAAAGTACTCCATAAAAATAGGTAATGTTCTTCAATGGAGTAAAAAAATTGCACTAAGCAAGGAATTGATTTTTACCCTCTCATTCCCAACTCAAAAGTTAATATATATAATAAATATATCATTACAAATTCTCTACTATCCAAATATAGACACATCTCTATGTGGTTGCATAAATATTAAAAGATAATCTAGGCCTGATATATATATATATATATATATATATATATATATATTTGAGACAGAGTCTTACATTGTTGCCTTTAGTACAGTGTAGCAGCCCGTATAGCTTATGGTTGGGAGGAGTGAGAGTTATAAGAAATACCTGTAATGGAACACCTTGGTGAAAAGGGCATGGAGAGAGATTTAGTTCTAACAAGTACGAAAGAGTTCGCAAGATGAGAGCATTGGTGAATTGGCAGTCTCTACACCTGTGGTGTTGAGAGGCATGAGCTCAGCCTTATATTAGGCTGGAGAAGGCAGTCAAAAAGCATGCACATTCTATCACAGACACACTTACTCTGACTCTGTCTCCTCTCCTGCCTGCAGAACACCAGCACGGGGTCTCTCTGCTGAAGATTACCAAGCTCTGCTAAAGACTAAGAGCTATCTGTTCTAAGAAGACTGCTTTACTCTCTCTAAGACACACACACACTCTCTCTCCAGCTAAAGTAGACAGCCCTCAAGCACCTAAGAGAAACTGTCCCTGAGCAAGGTAGCTTAGCGGTCCGCGTCCGGAACCTAACTAAGCCGGGCTGAGACCTGGCCAGTCCTGGGCCCTGACAAGTGGTGTCAGAAGCAGATCCTGACAGTACAGTGCTGGGGCATTATAGCTCATAGCAACCTCAAGCTCTTGGGCTCAAGTGATCCTCTTGACTCAGCCTCCTGAGTAGCTGGGACTAAAGGTGCCCACCATAATAACCAGCTAATGCTTTTTTTTGTTTGTTTTTAAGAGATGGGGTCTCACTTTTGCTCAGGCTTCTGAGCTTAAGGGATCCACCTGCCTTTACCTCCTAGAGTGCTACAATTATAGGTATGAGCCACCATGGCCAGCTTCACTAGGCCTGATA